AAGTTTATGTTTCGTCAAATATTTTTTTAATGATGTTTACTAGACTAGTGAAAGGCTCTTGGAGTATCATGTAAAATTTTCAGATTATAGGGCAACAAGTAATGGCCTACAGCGATATTGCGACATATTTTCAGAGCTGATTGCTCTCGTCGAAACAAACAAATAAACAAGAGTAACATTTTTTTCCTGGAATAATTCCTTAGAGCTTGATTTATTATTACAAATTGGAAACGAAATAGTTCTCGGTCAATTGTGATTAATTACACAGACCAACAAAATTTAACTTTTTTTTTGGAAGTAGAAACTTGAATATATATTTCCGAAGGATTTATGTGCGCTGAATCCGAATCTGGCAGCAGAATTGCTCTATCACGTCACGTTTTTGAGATATCCTAACCTAAAAGTGCAAAAAAACACTGTTTTTCGTTATATTTGGGGTTATGTAGTAATGCCATCTATTCTTTTTCAAAAAACTAATACATTGAATCTAAAAGTACAAGGCTCCCTCCTTCGAATGCCGTTGAGTTTGCTCAAATATATTTTTTTTTTCGTTGAGATATCACATGTTGAAATTTTTAAGTTTCCCTGTTTCTTAATATGCGAAAATCTACTAAGAATCCCTTAGACATCATGCAGTCGACTGCAATTCAGAAACTTCATACCCATACGGTTTGTGGGTTTGGAGTTGGTGGGCTTGGGGTTTGTAAGCTTGGAGTTTGTAGGTTCGGGTTTTGTGGGATTTGGTTTGTGGGTTTAGGGATTGTGGGTTTGGGGTTTATGGGTTTGTGGATTTGGAGTTTGTGAATTTGAGTTCGTATGTATTGAAGGTTTCTGAGATGAAGTTTCTGAACTGCAATCAACTGTTTGACGTCTAAGGGATCCTTAGTAGATTTTCGCATATTAAAAAACTGATAAACTTAGAAACTTCAACATGTTATATCTCAACGAAAAAAAAAAGATATTTGAGCAAACTCAACGGCATTCGAAAGAGGGCGCCTTGTACTTTTATATCATATGTATTTTTTTTTAAAGAATAGATGGCATTACTACATAACCTCAAATATGACGAAAAACAGTGTGCACTTTTAGGTTAGGATATCTCAAAAACCTGATGTGATAGAGCAATTCTGCGGTCAAATTCGGATTCAGCGCACCAAAATCCTTCGGGAATGCATATTAGTGTGTCTGCTGTTTGACCCTTGTTGACCTGTGTTATTAAGTGATATAGTTATAAAGAAAATATAACATTTTCGGGAATATATTGGTTTACATAATTATTGTAACTGTAACTTACGTTAAAAGTATGTTTGTCATTGATGAAGATACACAGGGTCAGTAACACCAGACGCTTCAGAATTTAGACACCACTGATTGTGGGTATTCTGCAATTCGACCAGTACATTTCGTCATACAAATGAATCAATTTGTATGGAACCTTTTGCTTAAAACAATTTGCTTTGTCACCTGACGAAGTTTCCTAATTAAAACCTGCATCACCCTGTATTAGGGTGGCCCAAAAAAAACGATTATTTTTTTTCAAGTCTCTTGTTATATGTTAGTTTATCATGTTTTAAGGGCCCCCTCAAGAAATCAGCTCAAAAACATTTTTTTAGAGGTCGTTCAAGATTTTAAAACATTTTCTCGTTATTTTTATCATTTTCTAGGTTGAAAAAAATCTCGATTCTGAAAATTTCATTTTAATTTCTAAAGGTCACTCATAATTATTTTAACTTCCAAAGTAGTGTACCTATGTTTTCGAGCGATCTCTAAAAATAAATATCAACGAACTAATAATTTTTTTTATTGAATTTGATGAACATAAGAATAGAAATAAATCACGACACTTAAATTTTAAAAAATTAAAAAATTATAAATATTTGATACACGCAGTGCGGTAGTAAATTTTGCCTCGAGAATTTTTTTAAGTGTCTCGTGATTTATTTCTATTCTTTTGTTCATCAAATTCAATAAAAATCGCTCGAAAACATTTTAGGTAGGTACACTACTTTTAAAGTTAAAATAATTATGAGTGACCTTTAGAAATTCAAATATCAATTTCAAATTTTCAGAATCAAGATTTTTTCAACCTAGAAAATGATAAAATAACGAGAAAAAAATTAATTTTTGACGATTTTGGAAATTTTTAAAAATCTTGAGCGACCTATAAAATAAATTTTTTTGAGCTTTTTTTGAAGGGGCTCTTAAAACATGATAAACTAACATATTTTCACAAGACACACGAAAAAAAAATATTCGTTTGTTTGGGCCACCCTTAACTGTATACTTACAGCAAAATTTGATTATGTAAAAGCTGAGGGATTTTAATAGATAGAAATAAGTTATTTGACATCGAAGACATCTTTCACATATTTAGATAGACCTTTTTCAAATAAAATTTTTGTGTCATTGAACTTTTTTTTAGAATACGCCATGTCCAAAGACCGTATCAAAGTTAAGAACATTTTTAGTAGGAGGGTATAAGTGAAAATCAGAATAACTTAAAATTTTGCATTAGACGAATATTTTTAACCTTTCCATAAGTATATCTAATTGTTAAGAAATTAGAGGAAAATAACTTCCTTTTGTTTATGGTTTTCTGTTGACAACCATTTAACATCGTCGTGGTTTTTAGATTTTTTTCGCCAACCGTGCATTCCATGAGAAAAAAATACTCAAAGTTTTGATTGGAAATGGTCTATCGAAGTATGTAAAGTAATATTTTCTTTAACGTCTAGTAACTTTTTTTTTGGCAGTAGACATTCCTCAGGTCTGTCCTAATTTAGACGTATCTGATCAGGTTTTGTTCAAATTTGACACGAAGTCAATTACTATGGAGGAACCGCTGCATCAAATTTAGAGTCTACATCTTGAATAGTTTTTGAGTAATTGATCAAAAGCTGTATTTGCTTTTAATCAGTGAATGATCATATTAGGTAAAGCCCTCAGGAATCATTTTACGAAAAAAATGCCAGTCTTATTTTTTTTTTTTTTGATTTGTCTAGAGGAACTAGCTCTGAAAGAAGTCACAACGCCGCAGATACACCTTCTATATTTAACAAGCGAATATCCAAAAACATTTGGGCTTCAATATGAACCTGCTTTTGAATTGACTGCAATTTAAAAATTAACGTCGCAGACATTCTAATTATCGCGATGTTTATTTGAGTTTATGAATCGGCAACTCGTGCCAAGAATTTTGGGCACGTCGGTAACAAAAACCCCACTACAAGGGTGTAGCGTTGTGGTATTTTTTAACAGCTTGTACGACTGGTGCCAAATTGAGGGAAATGATTTTCTCGGTGTTTACGTTTTCTGTTATTTTTGAGTTATTGCTATAGCAATCGTCACTTATGATGAGGTTTCCAGCACAGGTGATATGTAATCGGTGACAGAAAAATAGTCATTATCCTAACATAGTCCAGGAGGAGGAAAAATAAATGACCTGGTGGTGCCCGTTGAGTAGCCTGTAAAGTTTTTCATAAAATTTGGGTGAATTTTAGTATAATATGTGTAAAACCCACACACTATCAAGTGGGGTTTTTTAATAATCAACAATAAAAGGTCTAAAATAACCCAAAATATCACTTTTTTGCCTACCAAAAAAAAAACGATAATTTTTATTATAATGTGAAAGTAACCAACTTGTAGGGAATAAAAAAAAAACCTTGAAAATGGCGGTTTTTAAAGTTCGATAGGATAATTTGTTGCTCGGGAAATTGCAAAAAACTGTCAAATTTCGATGATTACTAAATAAACAATAAGTTTTGCAAAAGTCATCGTACGTCTTTGATATTGCACAAATAGTTGGCTTTTATAGTCCTTAACTGATTAAAATTTTAGACCGATTCATCCAATAGTTTTTGAAAAATTTTAAATGTGTATCCCAGAGGCATTATTTTGTAATAACTTGACATGCAAAATTACCAAGATATTTTAATTTTGCGGGTATCATATGAAAGAGAAAGACTTCTTTTATTAGAAGAAATTATTTTATTGTAAAAAAAATGTTTTTTACCACCACAAAAACACTGTCATTTTTGTCTTATAAACAATTAGAATAAATTTGTTGCCAGTATATTTAGAGAGATTATTTTTCCACATTCGTAAAACTGGAATTTTTACACAAATTAGAAAAAAAAGTTGCTCTAACTTAATTTGGGGCAAAGTTAGACACTTTTTTTTTTAAATCACAGCTATTTTGTTTATAACATTTAAGACTTCTAATAAGTGCCATTTCGAAGATAAAGAGCTAAAGTTTCTATGTGAAATTTTTGAGGAGATAGCTTTGTAACAGCATCTCAGAGAATGCTCCAAATAATGACTTCGATACAAGATGACAGTGAGTCAGTGGAGGGGGAACCTACAAATCCACGAGCAAATTGATAGAGCAAGTTATATCTCTGGAACTTGTTGACCGATTTTGATGTTTTTTTTTAATTTGGTGTACCTTCTTGTGTACATCACTCATATGCATTTTGTTAATAAATAAAAATTTAAATGAATCCAGTAATTTGTTTAAACATTAACAAAATATTTTTTTGCAAAATATCAACATCTTTTGTAATTTTTTGTAATGAAACATTATATTAAATATTCTATTGTTAATTATTAAAAAACATCACCTGATGGTGTGTGTGTGTTTGCGCATATTATACTAAAATTCACCTAAATTTTAAGAAAAACTATACAGATCCTTGGCGACTCAACAGTCACGGTATTTTCCTCATATCCCTGGGCTAACAACGAAAGTGTTGCTAGGCCACATTACCACAGTGTACGTGAAATTATAGTTTACATAAATTACAACAGACGACTAACAATATTTGGAGTGAGTTCAGGTTCATCATAAGTGATGCTTGCTATATTGAACGTTTTCCTTGCAAACATTGTAGGTGTCAAGATCAACAGTATTGAATGGCTGTTGATAGTGGGGAAGTGAGTTCTGCTTGGGTTGGAGTCAGATACATAGAAACCCTGCAAATATTAAACACAACAGCGAGTGTTTGGTCTAATAACTTTGGTTTAATAACAATAGAAAATAAAGGTACAATTCAAATACATGCTCAGATGTATATAAAATAAGGGTACTTATAATAAATTGACTCCAAATAAACATAACTATCATCACTCAACATTTACATATGGCCTAGGATAACTAAACAACAGAGGATGTCTACGCGCCTTACGCCACGAACACATTGTATACAGAAAGAAAAAAAAAAAGAAAAACCTGTCGAACCAAGAACATGACAAATAAAAATTGAACCAAACATAACACTTAGTTACCGAACATCCTCGTCATTCGTCATATACATAATCATTTAATTTACAAACGGCCACTGGCCGCCGTTAACTAGTAAAAATATCTCACAGTTCATAAAAATAGCAGCTAGATCCTGAGATTGCACTGCACTGGCACGGTGCTGGGGCGCGGCGCGGGCCGCGCGGGTACTGGGGGTTGACTGGCTCGTCTCTTTGGCTAATAGGGCTTGGAGGAGTCCTTGGCCCTCTTGAGCTGCACCTTCAGCCGCCTGGTCCCTATCTGGAAGCCGTGCATGGCTGAGATGGCCTGTTGAGCGGACTGCGCGTTGTCGAACGACACGAACCCGAAACACTTGGACATGTTCGTGTGCTTGTCTATAAACACCTTGGCGGATATCACGGGACCGAAGGGCAGGAACGTCGACGCCAGGTCGGTGTCGGTGAACTCCTGGGGTAGGTGGTAGATGAACAGGTTGCACCCGTCTGGACCTGGAACAAAACGCAACAATTTTACTTACTCAGTCCACGCCTGGTCTAAGAGTTAGTCGAGTTTACAAGTCCGGTACTGTTGGAGCTGAGTCTAGTTGACTCGCACCGAGTTAAATTTGGAATGTAGCTGATAGAATAGGGATAGATTCATTGAAAGTATATACAGGGTGTCTAGAAATGACTGGCGAGTCCTGTCTTAAGGGTGATTTCTTTGAATGACAATAGACCAATATAGCTCTCTTAAGAAGGGTTACGGGCCTTCAAAAATCTCTTTTCTTGTTTTCAACTTTTTCGTTTAAAATATTTTAATGAAATTTGTTATAGTAGTGTCTTTGCCGTAGCCGAACATAAAACTAAACTTAAATTTTAATTATAGTAGGTATAGGGTTTTTGAGAATACTTTAAATATTTTTTTATATAACATTTTTTGTTGTTGTAAGGTTTTTGAAAAAAACGGAGATGTTTTCTGAGGCGGTAGTTTATTTAGGTACTATAAAAAAGTATGTCTACTTGCTACATACCCATAAATAGCATCCCTATCAGTAACGGGGAGTAGAGTTACTATAAACTATATAAAAACCATTTTTTTTGGTAAATCTGTAACTATACAAAGTGTTTCAGAAGAACGTAATTTCAGCGACTGATAGAAAAGAAAAAAATCAAGTTTAGCTAATAATATTGTGGAAAACAACTACTCTGCGGGCTACATACCTGTCGAGCATTAAATTATACTCCCAATATTTAGCTAAAATAATTCGTATGCAAAGTCACTAGACAGAACAACAAATAGTACCTACGATTTTTTCCTATGGACAATTTTTTAATTTTTTAAATACAGGGCGTTAAACCTAATTTTCTAATCAAAATTTACCACCACGTTTTGAAAAAAAATAATATTTTGAAATACAGAAATGTACTAAAGTTTGTGACGGTGCTAAATACTAAAGAGTTGTTAGTTTTCTACCATTTTCTAGAGCTACAATTTTTTCAATAACATTTTGTCACATAACATTGTTGAGATTTAGATTTTTTATCAGTGTATGTCATATACAGGGTGACCAAGAAATGATGGACAATCTCTTGTATTAATACGAGGATTAATTAAGTTTTTATTTTGCTAAATAAAGAACAAATTGTTGTTTTCAGATTTTTATTACCATTAAGATATGTTGGTATGGTATCTTGTCTTTTATCGCTCTTATCGTGAATATTGTTCAATGTTCATTGTATCGATAACAAACAGGTAGATATACCTTTTTCACTAAAAAAGCACGAAAGTGTTAAAAATGGTGACAAAATTTAAAAAAGTTGGCCTATAAATTTTTTTGGGAGCATGCTTGCTGAGTGTGCTTTGTCTCCGGCCCCCAAAGTAGCTATTACTGATAGCTAAATGAGTAAAATAATATAAATAGCTTTTCAAATAACATAACTTTTACCCAAATTTAATGATAAACAAAAAGTTACACCGAAAAATCGATTTTCAACTCTCAACTTCAAAAGCTGGTCACGTGGCTTGTAATCATTTATGAAAGCTCTGTATATCAGATTCATTTTAGCCTTGAGGGTAGATTGCGGGTGCAAAGTGGTGGAGTTAGGAAAGAACGACTAAAAAAATACTATGTACATTTCTATGTCTTTCTACATCAAGTGAAATTTATCCACTAATGTATTTTTTTCTTAATAAAATATTTAAGGATCTGATAATTGTAAATTTAATAATACATTTATGCACTGACTCCATGGGAATTTTGACTTTATCCATTGTGGCTGGTCACTAAATAAAATATTCTGCTGGCTCAGTACTTAAATACATGAAAATATTGTGCAAATTGTTGGAGCAAATATATGACATGCATATATCACTGTAATTATAAAAAGGTGAGGATTAAAAAGGCGGTAAATATACAGGATGTACCTTTTTTATAAAAAAGTATGGTTTGTATCTCTGAAATAGAACATTAATCTTTTTTATATTTCTTTGAAATCGTCAGAAAATCTCTACTATTTCTTTTTCTAGATAAAAGGGCAAAAAAAGGGAGTAGAATGTTAAGTTAATTTTCAGACTGCGATTTGTGTGCAGCGGAGCCATCGGTGTAATCAGCTTCCAAAAGTGTCTCTTTATTTTATTATGAAAAGTCAGTCGGTATTAAAAAACATTTTTTATTTGCAAACAAATCTTTCTACCAATCGAGTTTGCACCTCAATTTATTTAGGTACTCTTTAAATATCCTTTCCAACTTCGTAAAATCCCTGTATATTTTAATACAAATAGTAAAAAATATACAGTGTGTTCTCAAAGTTGAGTCATTTATTTTAACAGCTGGTAGAACTCATAAAAAAAGTCGATTTAACAAAAATCGTTTATATAAAAGTTGTCAAATAAAGCACTTATTACCAATTATTTAAAAAAAAAATGAAAATCAAAAACTTTATAATACAAACCTGATTTATTGTCTTTTTCGACCATTCTGTTGTAAAAACATAAATTGTTTGTTTATTACTGATACTGAATATGTCTTTTTTTTGTAGTTGCACGGTTTTGAGTACACGCTTTTCGATTTGACAGTGCTAAATAATGCGTGATATTATTTTTGATTTATGGGTGATTTGTGCAATAAAAATGGCACATGTTTACGAAAACAATGAACTAGTGAACATAATATTAACTTACGGGACGTGTCAACAAAATGCAGCCGCAGCACGTCGCTTGTACGCGGGAAGGTTTCCTTTACGAAATCATCCGGCTCCGCGGATGTTTGTAATTTTAGTTATTAGACTTCGCGACACAAGGTATTCAAAGGTGTTCCTTGTTGTTACAAGGAGGTCACGCTGCAAGACCTCCTCCACGCGAAATGGTGGAGATCGAGGAAGAAATTTTAGAAATTGTCGAAAACGACCAAAACGAGCACTAGGTCCATGTTAGTAAGCAAACAATTTATCTTATAACTAAATTTAAAAACATCAGCAGAACCGGAAGATTTCGTAAAGGAGACCTTTCCGCGTACAAGCGACATGCTGCTTCTGAATTTTGTTGACACTCCCCGTAAGTTAATGTTATGTCCACTAGTTCATTGTTTTCATAAACATGTGCCATATTTATTGCACAAAATACCCACAAATCAAAAATAATATCACGCACTACTGTACGAATTATTTAGCACAAATCGAAAAGCATCTACAAAATAAAGGACATAGGTACCCAGTATCAGTACTAAACAAACAAGTTATGTTTTTACAACGGAGTTGTCGAAAATGACAATAAATCAAGTTTGTATTATAAAGTTTTCAAATTTCAATTTTTTAAAATAATTGTTAATAATTGCTTTATTTGACAACTTTAATATAAACGATTTTTGGTAAATTGACTTCTTTTTATGAGTTCTACCAGCTGTTAAAATAAATGACTCAACTTTGAGAACACCCTGTATATTTATCATACTGTGGGAGAAAGCCGGAAATAAAAAACAGAAAGAAATAGAAATATTGAAGTTTTTTTGATTAATTAAACTATTATTATTTTACATTCGAATGGAGCAGCTACAGTTTTTACCATATTTTTTTCAGTAACGCCGCCGAAGGTGAAAAGAGATATTTTACAATATTGTTCCAGGTAAACAGCATCATTTATCCTTTCTACACAAAAAACCGATGTCCCGGATCCCATTCAGCGGCATACTACATCTCCCGTCAAAGCGAGTCCGTGGGAAACCCGAACAACGCTGTCAGCTGGGCCGCCCCGAATTTAATGTACATTTTTAGTGGGCCATTGTAAGGGCCAGCTGACTGGTTCAATAAAACCCCCCTTTTTATTACGGCCGCGACCTTTGAGATTAGTTCGATATAGGACGGGGCCCATGCCGACGCCTCAGGTGACTCTGAAACGTTTCCGGGCGAGCGCCGGCAGTCGTGCCAACCGCAGACGAGGGATTAAGAGTAGGGACACCCGAGACGTCCTTTGTTAGTCCTGCAGGACTACGACAGGACGGAAGGTTCTGTCGGAGTTGCTGACGCGGACGTAGAGATTTTAAAAGTCACGACGCAATTGACAGAGTCGGATCAGAAGTGGGATGTACGAGTAACGGTAACTGCGCAAATTTAAATTATTCGAGATGGCTCGAAGGGAAAATCATTTTGTAAAAAATATTTGCTGTCTTATTCAAAAGAAAGTCAAAATCTTCAGATAGCAGAGCCTTTTAATTATACTTTTATGGTAACATATATTTAAATTCAAAATTGATGGCATAATGCACAATGTACAATTTTTAGAATAGAGACAGGTATCTCCTTTACTTTTCGACATAACGGGTTGAAATATTTTGAATGGAAAACGGAATGGAACGAAAATGGAAATGGTGAATCTTAAATGTGTACATGTTTATAAAAAGGGGTGTATTTTACTCTGTAGATTAATAGTTTCTGTTAGGAATAAAACAGTAAAATTTAAAGTACATAAACATATATGATTTTTTAAATTAAAAACTTATTTAGGCATGAGATGATAATCTATCTATTTCGAATGGAGGGTAATTATGTATCGTTGCATTTCTTGATTTGTGAGATTCTAACTTAGGCGTTTCCCTTCGTGTCATAAGCGTGCATGCAAGTGGGAACAACCTGTTTTTTGAAATGCAGTGTTAATAATAAGTAGTCATAAACGGGCGAACTTGTGCTGTATTTAATACAAAAGGTTGATTAATAATATACCTTCACCACAATTCATATAACGTCTCGTACTATGATCGTTACGTATTTTACAACTATGGATTACCTGACCACTTAAATAACAATTTTTCGTACAACTGGGCCTTAAAGCATATTTGTATAAAACCAAAATACCTACGTGTATTTCACTTTAAATTTAACATCCGTTATTTGTATATCGCAATCAATTCTTTAATGGGCTGTAGGCGTGCTAAAGGTTACGAAAATCAGTGAAATATTGACATTTGTTGAGTGCAAATTATAATAAAACTAATAAGAAAAATTCTTTTGTTAAATTT